TTTTTTCTGTACTAAAAAAAGGTTGAAGTTGAGCCAAGTTACGGTTTTAAGGAGGGGGGTATTCTTCCAAAAAAATTTCAAACAACTAACACAATAGCCCATGATAGCGTTCTCTCCACTTTTGTCTAAACCTCCCACCTGCATTTTGTGTGGTCCTGTTATAACTTAAGTGCGGTTACAGATATTTTAAAGCACAGTTCTCATGATCAAATGGGTGTTTCAGGGAGCAAATGACCAGGTGTTTTCGATTGGTTGGCATCCAAGTATGAGAAACGTGCTGATTATTTGTGGCAAAGGACATTTCTCGTTTTGGGAACTAGACCTCAAGCACGGAACCATCACCAAAAGCTCGGCAATTTTCGAAGTTGTACCTCATACAACTTGCTCTAGAGTATAAACACTTTTCCTTTGTTCCTACTACGAATTCCAATTGTTTCTGTCTTTCAATCGAACTATTTCAATCATGAAGCTGTATTTTATAGAGTAGGGACAAGCCACGAACTGTGCTCTCAATGTGCTTTGCTGAAACAGGTGACGTAGTAACGGGTGACTCGAACGGTACTCTATCACTTTGGGATCCAACCTCGTATAAAGTAAAGAAGCAGGTAAACATGACAAATTGACATTATCTACTTATGAAAACCGTAGTGGGGATTGACTCCCTACTATATTTGAGAAAAACTCTCTAGGCGCATGGAGTTCATCCGGGTGGTGTTTTCGCTCTTTGCATAAGCAAAAAAGGTACTTTACTCAGCGCTGGCAAAGACAGAACCATTGCCGAATGGGAGACTACGGACTTCGTCCGTAGGCGAAGGCCTATAGACGTAAGTGAATCTGTAGGAATGCCTTAAGCGACATTTGATTTTTATCCAAATTACTCATTATAAGCAATACATTTCTTGTCGGTTGGTTCTATAGCTTCCCGATGACGCTGGAACTCCTCGTGTAATCTTAAACCCAGAGGGAAACAAAATCATTGTTGGAACGTCACGGAACACATTGTTTTCTGGTGATTTCGAGACGGGCTTCAAAGAAATCGTTGATGTGAGTTTTTGAAACTCATTTAAGAACTTAATTAGTTGCTCATAATCGCATTTGCACTGTCAGTTTGATTATTAATTTTTAAATATTTTTTGAATTCCCTGATGCGTCAGAAAAATAAATTACAGAGATAAGAAAACTATGAAACAAAGTCGATTGCATCTTGCTACGCACACATACTTTACTCGTGTTTGATCTGTTTGTCGCAAGAGCACATAATAAAAAATATTAAGAGATGAAAACAAGCATGTTTATCGTTCACTAGTTGAGCTTGCCTGCGCATAATCTGAAATAGACTTACCAATATGATATCCTAAAGTTGTACAAATACCTCTTCATTACCTTGTAGAGGAGAACGATTTTGCGGTACTTCGCGGTACAAAAACCACAGTATTCTCTACGTATTTTAATGAAACCCTTTAAATTGTTTCATGTCTTGGATGAGTGGGTTGGTGTTTGAAGTAAAACGCATATTGTAAAAGGCATACCGTGCCACTTCTTCTTTTGGCTGACATCAGTGTTCTTCACTTCAATAAACTGCGGTAACTAAATAGTTTTTAAAACTGCAAGAGTAAAATTATGAACAATACAATTTGAAACCATCTAAATGTTCGTTATACTGCTGTTATTATTATTTTATACATCATACACAAACTAGTATTCCCTGTATTTTGAAAGGTTGTTAAAAAAATACGAAGTGCGACTAATTTAACTTTTGGGATGGTAACCTCTGTTCGGTCAGATTGTTTGAAAAACTTTCACAGATAAAGAGCAGTTGTGATCAACATTTTATAGAACTGCATCATTCCAAAAAAGAGAAGCAAATGAAGGCAATTGAAGTTACATATGTTGCCTTCTCTTCTCTCAGCTTCTCCGTTTTTGTTTTCTTTTGGTAGCTATAGGACCTTGACTTAGATAGCATGGCATTCGTGCTTTGAACGACCATGTATCACTTATATTAGTCGTATTCCCTTGTAAAGATGAGGATCTCCTACCCAGTACAATTTTTGCAGAATATTTTTTATAAAAGAAGCACAGTATTGTATTCTGCACTTAAAAAAGCTGTTCTGAATCCTACAATTAAATTCGCTGTTTTTCTGGGTGACGCAGAAAACGTCACTTATTGTGTTGCTGTGCAGCCGGACCATTTCGTAATTACAAGTGCTGATGGATGCATCCGACTGTATAACTCTAGCGAAAAACGCAGAGAGTGGCGAAAAAACCTAGGGGTAAGAGAAATTTCGCTGTATGGCAACAATCCAGATCTTGTTTATTCTGTAGGAGGGCATCACTTGTGCATCGGCTAACCCATCCGGCTCGCTACTTGCTCTGGGTTTATCTGCAGGTTCATGGAGAGTTATGGACCTAATAACGCAGGAGACGCTGTTCGAGCAGCAAGAATCATCCCAAGAAGTTACCGCCGTGCAATTTGCGCCTAAGGGTGATCTACTTTTTGTAGCTACCAAGGTCTGTTTCTTCATTGCAATTATTACATCTGCGCTAACTCCTCTACTATCGCAACATTTTCGCTTAGAAAGCGTGATAAATGGATCGAAGACTGCAAAATGACCGGGCAGTAAAATATGTTTGAAAGCACCTAAATTTAATTCGTTCGAAATCTATTCAGGATCTCTCTGCTATGGTTTATCGTTTCGAAACTCCGCAACGTTTCCATCAAATAGCAAGGATAGGCCTACTATCATCATTTGCTATATCTCCAGATTGGGATATCGATTCGAAATATATTCGAGCAAACTCCACCATTGGGCATATCTATCACTGTGAGTTTGGCGAGAAGAATAATTATCTTGGTTGTAATCCCTGTGTTAGAAGAACAATGAGTCCACTACCTCATGTTTTAAATTGTGGAGTTAGTTTGCGACGTTTTTCCTCAATTGCAAAAAATTTAAAAAAAAAGAAGTTTTGATGACACGTTGTATATCAGCATTTGCGAAAGAGATTTTCTCTAGAAAAGTTTTGCTAAGTTAAATTGATAAAAGCTGAAATCAAGAGGATCGAAAAAGCTTATCCGACAGCTTTCTTTTAGAATGCGAGCACTCAGAAATTGCTATAATTTTATTTAGTTGGATAATTATGCAGAGATCTTATCCATTTCCTATGAGTACGGTAGGTAAATGCTGTAGAGGTCAAATTCACTGATCTGCCTGATTGGTGTACTTTATTGGATAATATATTGACTATGAAAACTGTAACCATTTTAGACAAACCCATTTTGCATATTAGGCACAAAATCACTTAAATTTTCCTTTTGAAGTTTGTCGCTGATTTTAATCCTCTCGTTAATAATACCTACTCAATTATACAGTAAGACTTCGTTTAGCACAATCATTTATCAGAAGGAGGCATCTTCGCTCAAATGATGAATAATGTGTTACCAAAACTTCTGGTTACTCAAACTTCTAGAGTAAAAAGAGCACGAACTTAATTCGATAGAAAAATGTATTACATGTTTGAGGGTCGGCCACAACCGGGGAATTAGTGGATCACGCGACTGTGCGTGATGTTCATTGGGCGACTGGTAACTGTAGGATATCATATGAAGCAGGATTCGTCGCACATGCTGTGGAAGGTAATGCGTCAACACGTGATAATTGTTCCTATCTGTAGATATATTTATAGATACGAACAATTATTATGTGCTAATTATAAATAAATACAGATTTTTCTATAACTTCTTGCAATTTGGAAATCTTGTAAATCGCTTAGCTTAGCAGGCATCTTCTTTTAGGAAAAGCACATACTGAAAAAGAATTTTGCTACTGTATTTTCAACATCTTGCAGTACCCTCTGATTCAAACTATTTAGTCTTTTGTAAAAACTGTTGTCCGGATTGTTTTGGAGTGTGAAAGATAGAATTTGAATACGCAAGATTGCGCTTATAGCATGAGCAAGCATCATATCAAGCACCACCGCTTAGGCGAGTGTTACTGGGCAAAAACATGTGGCCTTTTAACAGGCTCTCTCATGGGTTAGGTTATGAAGGTTTACATTTGTTCGACCTCTTACATAGTATAAGAACTACTTCTTTCCAGAGAGCTGGTTAAAAAAATGATCTTTAGTTAGTGTTCTTTTCAACTTGCACTTTTTTCTTCAGCATTTGCCACTTTTTATGCAAGTGCTGCTCCAACATTAGGATTTTATGCTTTATATCCGTCGAACTTTGGGAGGATATTTACAAAAGTCGCTTGTTTTCATGCAGCTGAAGCAGTTGCTTGACAGAAGCAGCGTATGACACATTCAAATAAACTAGTTCTTAAACAATTGTCTACAGCGAGAAATTGATAAATATATGTTAGTCAGCTGGAACGTCAGTATGTTCACCTACAGTTTTGTTGAGGGAACTATGACTACGGTCAGCGACTTAGGCCAATGTCAAATCAGTCTTTTATCTTCCCAGATTGATCTTAGCAGTTCACCACATCATGAGACTTGGTACCTAGACTCAAATGCTCTGTTTCGTCGACGATCCCGCTCGTGATAGCAGCTTTTCTTGTCAATATCAGGCAAATCTCTTGTAGAGTTGAGAAGAGAAGAAAAAAAGTTATAACTACTTTTATTAAAAGGTGTGCAGGAAGAAAATTCTGATAAGAGTACTATACTGAAATACTGGATTAAAAGAGGCATTTTTAAATTTATTTTCGTTTTGTCTTATCAAGGAAAAGAACAATTTCTGCAAGCGATTTTAGTCAATCTCAAAAGTTTCTAGCTGCTCTAGGGATTACTATGGTTTGTCGCTCACCCTCTGAAGACATATTGGTCATAGGCCGAGACAATGGCTCCGTCAGGCTTTATGAGTGTCCCGTTCAAAGTACAAAGGTAAGTTGTAGAAAAATTTACTCTCTTTATTGTAAGGTTTTGCATCTTATTGCTAGATCTAAACTTTTACGTATATATTTTAGGCTGGATTCCATGCTCTGACTGGTCACGCTCATGCAATTTCCGCTTTGGCT